TTTGTGCATGGCAATAGACATGGATCTATATGCAGTCTTCTACATGCCAGCATCCAGTTATGCCAGCACCATTTGTTGAAGATACTTTCTTTTTTCCATTGTATAATTTTAGCTTCTTTGTTAAAAATCAGGTGTGCATTGGTGTGTGGAGGAATCTGGCACTAGGGAAGTGTCCAAAGATCTACAAGGTTGACCCTAACTAATAATCTAAGCAATAGTCCAGAGGCTACCTTAAATGCTCTTCTCTGATAATGAGATTGATGACTACCTTATTTGCCATTCTAGAGCCTTCAGTTAGTAGCTGACAGAAGTAGTAGCAAATACCCATAGCTAAACACTGAGCTGAACTCTGGAATCCAGTTGCAGATAGAGAGGAGTGATGAGCAAAGGGACCCCAGACTGATAGCTGGGAAACCGTCATAGGACTGTTCCAGACACCCTGCATGAATATGTCAGTTTGGAGGTCTGGTTAATCTATGGGGCTTTGGTAGTGGATCAGTATTTATCCCTAGTACACGAATGGATTTTGGGAGCCCACTCCACATAGAGGGATAGTCCCTCAGCCTAGACACACCCTGCTCCTAATGATATGACAGACTTTGAAGATCCCCCATGGAAGGCCTCACCCTCCCTGGAGAGCAGAAAAGGGATGGGATAGGGAATTGGTGGGGGCAGTGGATGAGAGGACGGAGAAGGAACTGGGATTGACATGTAAAACAAGCTTGTTTCTAATTTAAATTAAAAAGGGAAAATAGATAAATAAAAAAAGAACAACAACAAAAACAAAAACCCATCCCTACTTAGAAATCAGACAACTGAGCCACTGTTTACCATATTGATTTTTGCCATCCCATCCCTTTTTCTCCTGAGGGCCATGTGGTGTCCTTAGTGTATTTCTCAAGGCTCTATGTATGAGGTTTCTCTGTATTATGGTGTTTGTTCTTTATTTACATAGGAATATTAATACTTCATTCACATTTTCACACTAAATTTCTCTTCTCACACTGCTCTTTGCATTGGAAAATCATGACAAATTTAAAAGCAAAAGAGAAAATCTGTGTTTACACTGTTGTGGAATCATCATTTGAGCACACTTATTGTAGGTGTTTCTAAGAATTTAATTCCCCATTGTGTACTAACAATGTCTTGGTTGGATTCTGATTTTTTAAAAAGCACATTAACCCAAGAACCCCTCTTTTTATGTGTCCTGAGCATGCTAGTTGCCTTTGTGCTCTGTTGTGTAGAACACTGTAAGATGCGGTTGTTGAACAGATAAGATCCTGTGATTTTTTGGAATGAAAATGTATATGACATTCTTTGTCAGCAAATATGGTAGATATTTACAACATTAGGAAAATGATTTCAGTGGTTGTGTGAAAGTCCCCAGGTTGTTAGTAGGTTCTGCCATTAGTGCACACTGTGTCATATGCCACATAATTAATGTTTTGTAATGGAACTGGTTATTATTCAAAATTTTTATTGCTTCATATTGACACATTGTATGTATTTACATATGGGACATTATCATTAATTTTCACTGTTAAAGGTGCTATTATAGTAAAATTTTCCAGATTCCTGAAATTAAAGAATTTTTGATGATGTCAATTATTCTTTGTGACATCCATTCATAAGATGCAATTCAGTCAATCCCCCTCCAAGTATATAGGGAAATAAAATAATTGCTGAAGAATGTGCTACCTTGCATCTTGCATTCTGATTTCATAGTCACAGTGATCAAAGCATCAGTCAACGGAAGCAAAACAATTTTGACAACGTTTCACATTTGCAAGCAGTATCTGGATCTGAAATATCTTCAACAAAAATCAGGGTATTCAACCCAGTGGATACTTCTCCAGTATTATAGGAAGACCAAAATAATATGCTGTTCACCATTGTGAAATAAAAACCAGCTGTATGTGTTTATAGAGCAAATCTTTGATATAAATATGAAGGATGTTTATAATTTAAAATACCATTATAGGGGAATGGTAATAGCCCTTGATTATTAATCATTAATCATTAAGGTTCAATGGATAATGGGAAAAGTTCAGCTTCTGCCCTAAAAGAAACAGCTCCGTTTTGTGCACTCAACATTCATAACAGAAATCAATGGGACCAAGTTCTCTGAATTAGCAGCCTCATTCTGCTTTTCGCCTGAAGGGTACAGGGGAAATCATTCTGCATGTGTGCTATAAATGTGTGGGATGACATGTTAAAGCAGTGAGACTAACCCCAGGAAGCAGGGTGAGCTGCATGTGTCATCTAAGGTCTCATACTTGGTTCACTGTTATTGTTTCTATGGAAACGAGGGTGTGTAAGGCTTGACGGGTGATTAAAAAGTTGGCTGGGATGAAAAACGTGGCAGTATATATGGAGAAGAATTCTACACCAGATCTCACCTTTCCCAGGCACCAGTAGAGGACAGGGCATACCCTTTTTTTTTTAAATTAGTCTTCTGTGATTAGATAAAAGAACTTAATTGAATTTAAGAAATATTTTAAATTGTCAAAATGGAAGAAATAATGTAGAATGTGCTGCAAACCTTGCAGATGTGCAAATATATGCCAACTTCTAAGTGCGAAAATACATTGTGATATAGTCACTTGAAGGAACACTACTCAGTTATAAAAAGGGTGAAGCTATGGTTGTATGTGCCTGCATGATGAGCTGTAAGAATACTAGACACCATGACCTCATTCTCTGTAATACCATTATATGAACTGAGGGAAATGGTAAAAATTTGGTGACAGGAATACTTTCTTGGAGTAAACAAGCCTCTCTATTCTGTGTGTGCCTCATAAAATTAAAATGTGGTGACAGAAAATGGACCAGTTGTTTCTGGGCCTCATTGGATTATTCTTACTATATGCATATAACACCCAAGAATGGATTAAGAGAAAGAAACAGCATGGTAACATTGAGCAGTAAGTAGGAGGAGGGGACCTTGTAACTTATTAGTACTTGGAAGTGAACATAAAAATCACTGGAACACTGTAGGAGACACTCAGAATCTGGAAAAATAAATGTGTCATGTGGCTTATTTTGTTTGTTTCTTTGAAAAAAGGGTTCACTATGCAGAAGTATTTACTAGCCTCAAAAGCTTTGACCTTCCTGCCTTGGCCATTATAGATGTGCACTCCATTTCCCATTGAAATTACCAACTTAAGGAAGGAAGAAGATGAATTTGGTCATGCCCAAGAGTTCTTTCAATTGCTATAACTTTGAAGTAAACACCAAGCTGTGGGACAACATGTTTATTAACCACTGAGTGCCATTTAAATGTATATTTTAAATGCTAGATTAGACAAGCAACTGAAGAATTGTAAATGTCAGAACCCAGTGCAGTCTCTTACCTACCAGCAGGTAGGTAGGACTGGTTGACTGGCTTCCACAATTTAAAATTGACCCATGTTTTGATTAGGATAATTAGTGATTTCTAATATGTACCAAACTGAACATTAGGCATCATTTCTTAGACATATTCTTAACTTGTAATGTGTTACCTCATTTTCAAGCTATATCAAGCCACCATGAAGCTTTTAGTAAGGTTTATGAATACAGATGAAAAAATAATAACAGTAAACAAGAAAAGAATTCCTGAGTATGGGAATATTCAATAGATACTATGGATAAATGTATATCTGCATTTGCATGTGTGTATAACATTGAAAAATTTAAACGACCATGTAATGATGCCAACAATGTTTACAGGTTCATGCTAACTTTCCCCTTTCACATACTCCACAATGTAGCTATTGATGGAATTCTGGTATTATGCTGACCCCACTCCCCTAAAGATAGGCGGGCATGCGCGGTAGCAAGATCATGTCATCACTGCCTTGCTCATTGCAGGACTCAGCGCGCATGCGCGGGCTCCCCCTTTTAAGTTTCCTGCCATCATTTCTCCTCCTCCCCTTCTCCCTCCCCCACCTCTCCCTCTCCCTGTCTCTCTCCTCCTGCTCTGCTCTTACCCTCTTTGTCTCTTGTGTCTCTTTCTCCCCCTCTGGCTCTCCCGCTGCTGTAATAAACTATGATTAATGTACTCTCTATGGCTTGTGCTCAATTGCGCCTGCCCTGCTTCCATCTTTCGCCTTCGACGTTTCTTTTCCTTTTTCTAATTTTTAAACTTTTACACAAGAACAACAGCTATCTATACCTATTGGTTTCCTAGCGCACACAGAATGATGTTGAGTAATTTTATGAGTCATCATAGTCAAGCCTCATCCCAACTTTAAAAGTTGGAAACAAGTGACCAAAGATCCCATCCATGGATTACAGAGCAGACCAAAATTTCGATCTGATACTAATTGGTGGGATATTGGCACATGGCCCCAAGGACAGTGATTGGTAGAGAGATTTTACATTTAATAGAATTGAACTGGTGACATTGAGCTTGTTGTCATGCACTCTGTTCTCACCTGGGGTGTAGATAACTGAAATTTTGTCTAGACACTTTGGCTCTACCAATGTCAGTCCATAGAATGGACTACCAAGTGAGCTAATGTGTAGTTCTTTGTGTCCATTGCTGCAAAAGTGGATTTGCATGCTGTACTTTTAGGATGTGTATGACACAAAACAGAGACTAAAATTGGATAGCAGTATTTAATTAGTATTAATTCTTGACTGTGTTTTCAAGTTCAGGTTTGGACAATGATGTGAACACATTTCTGTGTTAGACTGCCCACACTAGTAAGAACTTGAGTTTTCATAAACATTTAAGTACACATGAATATTATCAAACTGTGGCAATTGTTTGTCCTAAATGAGAAAAGCATTTAGTGTACAGACATGAATTGGAACATTTTTCATCTTCTTATCATACCATGCTTTGGGCTTACTGTTATCTATTTTCCAAAAATGTAGAAATGCCTTTTCTTAGACTGAAATCATTCTTTATAGAGTAAGCAACAGACAGGAGCTGTTCAGATTTAATGAAACAAGCAACTGACAACCTTTATTTCTATCTGTTGTGTGTTCGTGTTTTTTCTCTCTCCTTACAGATGGACCCTATTCAGAAAGCCGTGATAAACCATACATTCGGGGTTCCTCTTCCTCACCGGAGAAAGCAAATCATTTCATGCAACATTTGCCAATTGAGGTTTAATTCAGATGTGAGTATACCACTCAGTCGTAACAAAATGTATTATATGGTTTTAGTTTCATGTCTCTTCTTTTCCCAGGAGCTGAGCATACCCAAATGCAAAGATAGCGTGCAAATCCATGTGTTCTTTAATTTGGGAGTTTACTGTATATGTTTGATTATAGAAAAATTGCATGCGCAGCTAGATATACTTGAAGTTTAATGTTTTGGCTTTAGTATCTTGAGAACATTTAATGTATATCACATACTTTGTCTTTGGAGATTATCATATTCAGAGCCCATGAAGATTTTAGTAGATTAAATCTCTGAAGTAAGACAGATCATCTCCCAAGACCAAGACTTTGGCTTCAACTGTTTTTGCTCACTATTGACAGGCTCCCAGTTCCAAAAACGTGCTGTGGGAGGCAAGTGTGTGTGTATGTATGTGTGTGTGTGTGTGTGTGTGTGTGTGTGTGTGTGTGTGTACTCAGAAGTATAGATGACAAGGGGACTCCAAAGACCTCAATTTATGAAACTCAAGTAGAATGGAACTTACGAGGGGAACAAGATAGAAGGGAAATGTTTGGGGAGTTGGCCAGTGGTTTGAAAGTGTTAGGCTGTTCACACTGTTTACAATTTTTGTCAGGAGGAAGGTAGATTGTGGGACCATCCCAAGTGATACCTATGTTTACTTGTAGCCAATATGAAAAATGTTTATGACTCTTTCTGGATCCCCAAATTTGCTTTGGTGACAAGTTAGTCCTGAGAGGAACAGAATAAAGAATTGTGGATACAGAAGACACAGGACTTACACAACTAGTTCTCATACAGTAAGCAAATAAAAGTCCATGCTTGCTATCTGAATGGACTCTCACCCTGCGGTGCCATTACCTGTGCAAAGTTGTGAGGCCATAATGAGAATATAATCTGCTGCAACACTATGGGCAATGACCATCCACAGAAAATACATGAGGCCTAGACAAATGTCTCATTGCTTCTTTGAGCAGAACAGTGAATTTTATGTAAGGATTTCTTAGGTAATGGAACTCAAGCCTTCTGTTGTAATTCAAGTATTGCTTCTATTGACTTGAAAGAAAGGCATTTGCCTAGACCTGTCCCATTGCATTTGAACTTCATAGATCTATCCTAGTGTACTCAGGTAGTTCATGATCAATAGAAACTTACTAGCTCCAGAGGCTGGGAAGCCTACATCTAAACTGCTGGCAATTTCAGAGCCTGTCTGAGACCTGTTGTCTGGCATAAAGGTGTCCACTTGTCTGGATAACAGAAGGTTGTTCACGTCTTTACTCCATTGCTTTTACTCTTCTGCCTGACTCCTGCATATCAACAAATCATACTGGGCCAAGATCATAATCCATCCTAATTGCTTCATTTTTATTTCAGCTGACCAGCAACTTTAATTTAATCCCCACTATTCTATATCATAACCACAAGTCTCGTTTCAAGGGATGAGAATTTAGCCATATGTGGGTGGTCACTATCTATCATGGATACTTTCTGAGAAGTCTGACCATAGTTCCAACTACAAATCATGGACATTGACTTCATAGCCATGGCATTATAAAATGCAGAGCAAATGGACTATGTGTTTTATAGGCTCATATACATCCACTGCTCTTAAATTTTTCTTCATATTTATATGTTTGATATAAACTCACCATATAGGATTAATACTTAAATGATTGCAAGTATATTTGTTTAGTTATTTACACATGATGTGCATGAGCCTGTGTTTGTCACATCCTGTATGTGAAGGTCATAGTCAGTCTTTCCTTCCAACCTGTGTGTCCTAGGGACCCAACTTATGTCCTCTGGCTTAGTGACAAGCACCCTTACCCTGTAAACCATCTTGCCACCCTAGAGTTACTTTTTTAAACAACAGCTTTCTTTACCTTCTAAATATAAACATCTAATGTAGATTTAGAACATAGGCAAAATTTTCAACACAGTTTGCTAATAAAGTATAATTATTGCAGAATTAAAATGTAACAATTGACCCTCCTTAGAGATGTAGAATTATCCTTATACTTTTGTGCTTCAGTAAGAACTAAGGCATGGAAAGAATGGAGTTTTGTGCTTACTGACCTGTATTATTATAAAATACTAATTTTATTAACTGTTTAGGTGCTGAATGACAGTATCAATTAGATTTATCAATTTATAACATTACAATAATGCAATCCCTATATACAGAAAACTTACAAAATCAGCCACATGTATATTATATCATAATAGTTTGATTGCAAGGAAACCCTTCCTAATCTCCAAACCACTGTCCATTTGTTCTTTCCAGGTAATCTGGATTTTATTTTCTTGTTTCTGTTTTTAAGATTGGAATGTTCTGGAGCAACATTGTAATTCACTTGTATGCTTGATTGAATTTTCTGTCACCAGGAAAGTGTTTTTGCCACAGGAACCTTTTTACATTTCAAAGCTTCTCCTCTTTCCAGTGAAAATAATAGCTTACAGTTCTTTTCATCTCTCGATCATGAAAATTCAATTTCCTCTCACTCTCTGAGCTTTTATTTATTTTTTAACCCTTCATATTAAAACTATGTAGTTTGATGTTATACATTCCTGTTTCCTATATGCTACAATTTCCACACAGGGCCATGCAGATAATTTTAAAATGCCACAAACTACATTAAATTCAGTTAAATCAGGTTGTCTTTTCTTGATACAAACTTCTTACTAAAATATTTTAATATGCATGTGAATAAAACTGGGAAAACAGGGATATAAGATGAGTGAGTGAAAGAAAGGACAAATATTTAATGATTGCTTGTGAAACATGACATAAGATCTCAAGTTACAAATCAAGGAATATAAAATATGTTTGCAATCAAAGTCATAATAGCAGAGTTTTCTTCTATGATAGAGGCAGAAGAAACTGCTAATTTCTTATGCCAAGCTAAGGTATACTGTTAGAGATTTGTAAGTGGTCAGGTGGCCAATGGCTGGTCTTCTAGTTTCATTTCTGTTGCAGTGATAAAATGCCTTCACAAAAAGCAATTTAGGCGAGAAGATGTTTTAGCTCACAATTCCAGGTTATATTCCACCAATGTGGGAAGTCACAGCAGCAAGAGCTTGGCACATCACATCGACAGGCAAGAGCAGAGACAGAGAAATGCACTCATGCCACTTGCTTGTTAGTTCTCCTGTCACATTTTATGCTGCAGAGTAGTGTGGATAGAGCTCTGTGAATTTCCTCATAAGCCACATTGTCCTGAGGAGATAGTCCTGAATTTTGATGGATTAATGGTTGGGCTCCAAGCTGGTTTGGAGAAAATGTAGGCATTGCCAACAAAGACTTCTGGTTATTCTTACTCCATCCCACTCACAATTCAAGAGTAGACACACAGACAGTTTAAATACAAGTTCAGATTCAAATGCCTTAGTTATAATGCAGTAAGATTCCTGCTATAACTCAGTGCTATCAACCATTAATTACTTCTAGGATCTTATTTGATGAAGCAACAGAGGGAACAGAACATTATTAGAAGATACCGTGGTTCAGAGCCTCTGACACTTTAAAGGAAGACATTTGAGATAGCCACCAGCATCATTAATAGGTTCACCAATGCAGTTGTAAAGTAGAGGCTTTTAATAATTAATTAACATTGCTAATCATTATTCATGTCTTATATTTTAATCTAGAGATAAAGCAATATTAAACAGTTAAAGGTTTCATAATGCTCAGAAAGTCAGTGTAAGTCAGTGTTAGCAGTGATTTTCTTTCCACGTAACCAAATCACTCAGTTACCTGCTCTTCACATCATGTGTTAAAAAAATCTTTTTACTATTCAAATCAGCATTATTGGGAATAGACAGTTCCTGGCGGACCAGACTATCCAGAGTCTGCTAGTGTCCTAATCCTACCTCAACCCACAGGAGGAGATAAGCCAGGGCCTTTTCCCCATGCCTTCAGGTGCCCTGCTCTGAACCTCCTGAAGGTTGGGAACTGTGCACGGGGAACCTGTCCCCGTGGAACATCCCCTCCAGAGTCTGATTTCAAGTTCTATAATAGACCTATAGTCCTTATAACAGCTTGGCATTGGCACAAAAATAGATAGGTTGACCAATGGAATCGAATTGAAGACCCTGGTATGGACCCACACGCCGATGAATACCTGATTTTCGACAAAGAAGCTAAAATTATACAACGGAAAAAAGATAGCATCTTCAACAAATGGTGCTGGTACAACTGGATGCAGGTGTGTAGAAGACTGCAGATAGATCCATATCTATCGTCATACACAAAACTTAAATTCAAATGGGTCAAAGACCTCAACATAAATCCAACCACACTGAACCTCTCAGAAGACAAAGTGGGAGGTACCCTTGAAAGAATTGGAAGACGAAACCGCTTCTTGAACATGACAACAGGAGCACAGACACTGAGATTGACAGTTAATAAATGGGACCTCCTGAAACTGAGAACCCTCTATAAGGAAAAGGACACAGTCAACAAGACAAAACAACAGCCCACAGAATGGGAAAGATATTCACCAGCCCCACATTTGACAGAGGGCTCATTTCCAAAATATATAATGAACTCAAGAAGCTATTCACTAAAACACCAAAATAATCCAATTAAAAATTGGGGTTACAGAACTAAATAAAGAATTCTAAATAGAGGAATGTAAAAGGACTGAAAGCCACTTAAGAAAGAAGTCAATATCCTTAGCCATCAGGGAAATGAAACTTAAAACAACTCTGAGATACAGTCTTAGACTGGTGAAAATGACTAAAATCAAGAACACCAATGAAAGTTCATTCTGGAGAGGATATGGAGAAAGGGGAACACTACTCCATTGCTTGTGCGAGTGCAAACTTGTAGGACAACTTGGAAATCATCATGGCCATTTCTCAGAAAAATAGGCATCAGTATACCTCAAGATCCAGCAATTCCACTCTTGGGTTATATCCAAAAAATGCACATTCATACAACAAGGACAAATTCACACACAGAGATAGTAAATAAATAAATAAATAAGATAAACATAAATT